AGACTTACTTAGTTATACCTTTGAATAGACTAGCTTCTAAGTTCATTAAAGATATTCGAGTGCACAGTCTCTAGGATAAAACTCATCTTTATATCCCATAAATTTCTCAAAATTTTACTTTTTTTTTTAGGGTATCGGTTGTTAATATCATATTGTGGTCGAGTGTATTGATCTAGATTAAAATAATTATATTAAATAGATTAATATTAATGTACATTACTATATATCTTGGAGATTTCAACAACTTTTGTGATGAACAATTTATAATTTCATGAAAGAGTCAATTGAAACCTCAAATTTCCATTTATTTATTCCGTAGAAATTGATGGAAATGGAATTTTTTAATTTATCCATTCATGATCAATAAATTTCTCAAGAAATTCCAAATACTTCAAGAGTTTGCATCTCCGAAGTACTTGAACTATCAGATAAAATCAAATTTCCGCAATTATCCCGTGCAATTCCGTTAGTTTCCCATGCGAAACTGCCGAAAGATTATTTTCCATCAGATGTAACTTCATAATCGGAGTCTCACTGACAAAAATATTTTCTAAAAATTCACATGGGACTGTCCCACTGGGCAATTCCCAAGGTTTTATCAACATTTCCAAAAAAAAATGCATTCCCTCTCCTCCTGCGGGAGCATAAATTCCACTATTGCGGAGTCTCTAAAAAGCCCAAAGAAATAATTTACCAAGTGCGAAGGAAGCTAACCCCTTGCCCACTGGGACAACTGCAACAAACCTATTAAGGGCTAGAATTAACGAGCCGCGGGGATTTTATATTCACCAGAAACTTATGCCGCGACGCGAGTGCTAGCCAGAAGTGGTTTTCATGATTCCGCTGTTGTAATTCGTTTTGCGGTACTTAAAAGCGAGCCAATTAACGCTTGCCCTAAGTTTGCGCAGTAGTTAAATTATTGGCATTGCTCTCAACTATCCCCCACCCCCTTCAGCATCATCTCGAGCTTTTTATGATGAAAAATATTATTTTTTATTGAAATTGCACAACCCACGGTGTTACAAGTCCATTATATTTGCACCACGGGTTTTATAAAGTCCCTCTAGCGCCACGTACTCAGCACTTGGGCATTTCGAATAAACGAAATATGTGGCGAGGACGATAAATAAAGACGGGTATTACATAAAGATGAAATAAACGTTTTGAATAAAATGAAGGAGAGGGGGAGGGAATGGTGTGAATATACTCGTCTCTGTGATTTGTTATTGAGACGGGAAATTGTTGTTTTTATTGTCTGTTTAATCGTCTTGGGGTCTCCGCTGTTTTGCCAATTATTGGAGACGGGTAGTCCAGGCTAATTGGAGTTTCTATTGGGTGGGTGGGGAGGGATTATGAAAAATGGGGGAATTGTAATCGCGGGGTTTGCACGGTAATTGGACAGCGCCGGATGTGGGAGAGCGCCTGTTCCAGGGTTATGGGTTGTTAACGAGGTTTTTAAGGTATTAACAAATTGTATTTTGTAATTTATTTGTCGTTGGAACTGTTTGGAGAATTATGCCGTTTATTTTTGGGGGAGATGCTGGGATAATTGAAAAAAGTAAAAATCGATGTTTGCACGGTCTTCGTTATAATTATTCCGTAATATTTTAGTTTTGGTTGGGAATTTTTTTTTTTTGGGAAGGATTTAATATTCATGCACTGAGAGACATATTCAATAAAAATTACGTGTATTTTCCGTAATTCTGGAGCGAAATGTGGTTGTCGGAAATTTTACGGAACTGTCACGTAATTTTTATCTGAAGTCACGGAATTTTTCCGCGGTGTTCCGTAATTTTTATCTGAATTATCGGTGAAAAATAACGATACCGTCACTTAAATTTTTCGAATCAACTCCGTAATCGGTAAGTGAACTGAAAGTTCCGTAATTTTTACTAAATATTTCTCTCCGTGTGGCCATTAATTTCTATTAAAATTTTCAATTTGTTTAAATTCTTGATTAATGACAAAATTTCAGAGTCGAACTAATTATCTAGAAATTAAAAAATTTATGACTTTTAATTAGCTACCGAAAAGTCACGTGATATTCCATTTTAAATTAATAGTAATCGAAATAAATCGATGATCAATAAAAATTTTAGACTTTATTAACGAAATAAAAAATTTTCATTGTGAATCTTGAGATTATAATTCCGTAAAACTCTAGTCTTTCATTTCCACAACTTCCACATAAAGGAAAAAAAGAGAAAGAAAGAGAAATTCTTCATGAAAATTCCCGCGAAAATCCGAGCGCAATTCCAGTAAAAATCCGAAGATTTATTGAAGCTGTCCCATCAATCCAAGAAAAATTCAGGTTTCCACCTGAAAAAATTTCCCGTACACGCCAGTACACGAATTTTTTATAAAAATTTCTCTCCCCGCTATAAATTTGAATAAATATTTTCAAGTTTACCTTTGAATTCTCGCGGAGTCGTTGACTTCTGGGAACCTCCTGACGGTTGAAAATGACAGTAAATCATCGAGTGAAGTATGAAACCATCTGAAATGCACCTAGACCACCGTTGGTGGTGGTAAACGCACCTTGCTCGGTGAAACGTACATTTCTCCACCTGCACTAGGCGACTGCTGGCTCTTAGATCAACTGCGCCCGCATCCTCAGACGCTGTCACCTTACACCTTATTTAGACCCACAATCTATTCAATCTATCGCATCGCGGAATAAAAAGTGCCAGAGCCCAAAGAAGTGGATGAGCTCCAACCTGAAGATGTTGGAAAATTGTGGGTGTCATGAAAGGATCCAAAGAAATCGCATAAATTGGTCTCATCCTCATTTAAAGGTTTCTCAATCTCGCGTGTCAGGTGGAGGTTAACGTCTGGATCATATTAGCATGGTAACTGGCTACCCAGCAGGCGCTTTATTAAATTTGTACCTCCGCAAGTACCCCTCGGTAATATAAACATGCGAAAAATGGATTATTCATTTAATGTGGACAATGGAAGAGGCAATAAACAGATTTTTACTGCACCTCAATTTGTTTTTTTTTTATATATTTCAGCTGCTTTTTACAATCTATTTTTTTATTTCAACCACCGGTTGATAATCAAACACTCAAACCCGAGGAAAATACGAAAACAAACAATATTTTTCCCTAAATATTATTTATTGATATTTACATTTGTATTTATATTGTTGGCGTCAATTAAAATTTGAAATAATGAAGTTTGGGGTTTTGGAGTTTTGGCATATTGTTGGAAGTCTCTGGGAGGATCTCCGTTGGGTTATGACATGGTGAAAAATGGTTCTTGTTTCGAAAAATTAACCAATTTTTCTGGTCTCAGCATGCGCACATGCTGTAATCCGCAGTTTTTCGTGAGTGACATAATGAGTCACCGCGGCAGAGTGTACCATAGCACTAATGATTATGAATGGTCCTGTGTGGGGGATACACACGGGGGTCGGGACTCCTTTCTTTCCAGTGCCGGTCGCCAAAAAACTTGATACCGTTGATCGACCGGGTCTGGCATCATCCTCTTCCGTTACACACCCGCGTCTACACGAAAACACGTTTTCAACTTTTAAATTTATGCATACGCTTAAAAGGAGGATCCCTCATTCAGAGAGATCCATTATTTTCAATTAAGATTGTGATTAAAGAAATAAGAGTTAAAGGAATAATAATGGACATAAATAAGAACTGGTGGGATATCAATCTTGACAATTGCACGGAAATTAAATGCCACGACAGGAGTCATTTGACATTTCTTCAACAAACATTGCCCTGGATTCGCCATTCGATAGAGTTGGAATTAAAAAATCAGTGTTTGCCACGAAATTTATTTAAACTATACTGCGGGAAAAGTTGTATCTCTTTCGTTCTGAATACTCACATTTTGTTTTTGTTATCCTATTAAAAGTGACTTATTGAGCAATCAAGAACCCCTGCCCCAATGAAATTTACTGGGTTCTATAAAAAAAAATAAACATGAATACAATGTTGAATTAAAACAAACGATATTATCATTCAATTTTATTTACGACTGTGTACCACCAAGAAAGTATTGCATACGTATACAGTGCCCGTATCGAGATTGTCCCCGAGGATAGGACACACACTGTTGCAACGAGTGCATGAATTACCACGAGTGCATTGTCGTTAACTCTCCCCCGAAATTTGTCGATAAAGCCATTTCGCAGCTCGACGCATAAACATCCGAAAATGTTTCCTCTGAAATTTCTTGACAGTTCTAGTATTTTTATGGATTCCAAGAATGACAATCAAGGGTTTCTGGTTTTACCACGTGTAAGTGAATGTGTTTATTGCGTTGAATTTTTATAACAACCAGGTGGCATGATACTTCGGAATCAACCGACTATGGGAAGTGACTTCCGGTAATTGGTTGAGTGTTAAGGGACACCGGAAGTCATCCTTAGAGCTACGACGCGTGCCGAACACGCGACTTTAATGGAATAATTACTAGTTCCTCTATCAGACTAGTTTAGATATTTATGATAGCAGTATGACGATTCCTAATTTTTCCACTTTAATTTCCAATTATTATTCCGATATTTTTCATTAATGCAGAATTTTTATTACTTCAATCCTGAAAATTAAATGTTTCTGCAGTGAAATAATATTCCTGTTTTCTGGAGTTTGAGATTATACTCTGGGTAATTTTGATAAGCAAGATCAACCAGATAAGTGGAATTTAATCACATTTCTTGGTTGGTTTCTGGAGAATTTGATGAATGCATATGCTGCAGCTTAGACAACAAGTAATTATGCATGTCCATTGTTTTTATCTTTAGAATCGTGCGGGCTGCACGTTGACTACGACGATGCACCTGCCATGAGAGCGTGCCAACGCATACACAAGACTCGGTCACCGTAACGTAAACACACCCCTTTTATATCCTGCTTTTCCCCCAATTTTCACTCGAGGCAATGTCAATTGGATTTTCTATTTCAATTCAAATCAATTCAAACGGTTAATCATGAATCTATCAGACAAGAATACCCAAACATAAATCATTAAAGAACCAATAAAAAATTGTTGTTGTGTTTATTGTTACTGCAAATCACGTAGTGAATGATAACCGACAGAGGAAGTAATTAGATTTATTTAATGATGGAAAGATGCAAATGTTTATGATTATTGCAAGCCATGTGATGAGTGATAACTGATAGAGCAAGACTTTGTGTTTATTCAGAAGACATACAATCATTTCTGGGAATATTTGTTGACGAGAGATAAGTCCAATGTTTTTATCGCTACATCAATATTAACTGAAATTGCGGAGAATTGAGTGGTAACAAAAACAATGTTCATTTCAGAGTTCTTCGGTAGCTTGAGGCAG